AGCGGAAGAAGTAAGCTATCGCAATGCGAGATGAGATCAATAGCTACCGACGAAGACTGCGTAGCAGTCCAGCCGGTTCCACGATTTACCTCTTCTGGAATTGTCAGGGACTGAGGGGGTCCCCTGACAAATCATGGACTCATAGATAGGCTCCGAACACATAATCCCCAAGTGGTGTTTCTCTCTGAGACAGGAGCAACATCTTGTACGGTTGATTTGCTAAAAATGAAGTGGAATTTTCACAATATCACCGTGGACAAAATCGGTAAATATAGCGGTCTTGCAATGCTTTGGAAGAAGGAACTGATGGTGCAATTACAAAATTCCTCACAAAATCACATTGACATGGTAATCTCTAACCCGGAGACCAAACTTAATTGGCGGTGCACTTGGGTTTATGAATTTCTAGAACTTAATAATCGACACCTCACATGGAATTTGTTGCGTCAATTTCGACTCCAGAGCAACCTTCCGTGTATAGTGGGAGGTGATTTCAACGAGATTCTCTGTAACTCTTGAGGATTGCCAACTTTCAGACCTGGGCTTTGAGGGATTTAAATTTACCTAGTCCAACTGACGGGAGAACCCGCATACAGTACGTTGTCGATTGGATCGTGTATGTGCGACCTCTAGTTCGGTAGATATTTTCTCTACGTCCATTGTAAATCATCTCCATAATGCGGGCTCCGATCATGATGTCGATCCTCCTCATGAACCGATTTGAACCGCATACATTTCGCCGCCACCACAGACGACCGTTTCGGTTTGAATCATTCTGAATGAAGAAGGATGAGTGTGAAGAGATCATCAAGAATTGCTAGTGGGAGTCCTATGGCATGGACCCTATTGAGAACGTGCTGCATAATACCAATAGGTGCAGAGCGGCTCTCATGTAGTGGAGTAAATCCACCCATACCCCCACAACGGCAGATTGATTCCATCCATAAGAGGCTCTCTTTCATCCATTCGATCGTGCAGTCTCCACCGATTCGAGAGGGAATCGCCCAGATCAAAAAGCATTGAAGGGATCATCGGGACGTGGTTTATGCACATCTTTCAGACCACGTTCCCGGTTGAGGAAGAGATGGACAAGGTTTTAGATTGTTTCGAGCCCAGAGTATCGGCTAGAGATGAATCAGAGATTGGCTCTTCCATTCACGACACAAGAGATACTTCTTTCTCTTTCCCACATGTGTCCACTGAAATCTCCATGCCCAGATGGATTCTCAGTCATTTTCTATAATCGATACTGGAATATTATTGGTTCCAGTGTTACAGAGTGTGTGTTGGACTTCCTTAATTAAAAAGAAAAACCATTTCTCATGCGCTTAATTTTACATTCATTGTCATAATACCGAAAACTTTGAGTCCAGAAAAGATCATAGATTATTTGCCTATCAGCCTTTGCAACGTAGTTTACAAAATTGGTTGCAAAGTTATTTACAATCGGTTAAAGCCTCTCCTAGAGCATATTATATCGCCCTCTCAATCCGCTTTTGTGCCAAAATGGTTAATTACAGATAATGTTTATAGCATTCGATGTTAACCATTTTATCAAAAATAACATTAGTAGGGTGTCTAGTCATATGGCAGTGAAACTAGATATCAATAAGGCTTAGGATAAAGTTGAATGGATATTTTTGAAGAAAACCCTTTTTCATTTCGGTTTCTTACCCCCACTTTATTGATTTAATCATGACTTGTATCTCATCCGTCTCTTATGATTTTTTATTTAATGGTTCGCAGTTTGGGCAATTACTCCCTCTAGGGGTCTCCGGCAAGGCGACCCTATCTTTTTCTTTTTTTGTGCGGAGGTTATGATAGCAATTATACAAAAGGAGGTGGCGACAACGTCCCCTGTTGTGTTGAACCTTTGTTTCGCAGATGATACCTGGAGAAGTAGGCTAAAGTTTCGGGGAAGGAAATAAACTTCGACAAAACTACCGTGTGCTTTGGCCCCGCCACAAATGGGTCAGTGCAGGCTTCCATTCGCCAGATTCTCGGTTTAAGATTGTGGAAAGACATGATAAATATCTCGGGATGCCAGCTTCTCTCAAAAAATCTAGAAAGGATATTTTTGTTTTGCGTGAGCGGTTGTGGACTAGGATCAAAGGGTGGGGGGAAAACATCTCTCGAGAGGCGGGAAAAAGGTTCTTATCAAATCGGTGCTTCAGTCAATTCCAACATATATGATAAGTTGGTTCTCCCTTCCGGCGGGGTTATTACGGGATCTTGAGGCAGCTATTAAACGGTTTTGGTGGGAGAGTGTTGTTAAGAGAAAGATGGCGTGGGCGTAGATGGCATAATCTGTGTCGTGCAAAGAGAGATGGTGGACTAGGGTTTCGGAACTTAATGAGATTTAATATGGCACTCTTAGCTAAACAACTTTGGAGGATTTCAACCAACCCTGATAGATTATTGTCCCAATTGATTAAAGCTACATATTTTCCCACATGTGATATTTTTCCGGCGGTTGAAGGATCGCATCCTTCAGCAACTTGGCGTAGCGTTCTCAAAGCTAGGTTAGATCTAATGATGGGTATTCAGAAGAGGATTGGCGATGACAGCTCAACGTCAAGGGCGATCCGTGGTTACGGGAGTTTTCCAGATAGCGTAGCAGACATTATTGACACCGTTTCTCGGGAATGGCATGCCAATATGATCAAGGGACTTTTTTGGACCGTCGATCATGCTTGCATAATGGAAGTGCCCGTCGGTTGTGCATATGTTCAAGATAAGTGGGTTTGGCACTATACGACTAACGGGTTATTTTCGGGCGGACTTGGTACTTCAACACCAGCTGACTGGGGGTGGAAAGCCTAGGGATAGCGTAGGGAGTTCCGGAACTTTGGCAAGGGATTGGAACTCTATTTGGAAAATTCAAGTACCTCCAATGGTTTGCAACTTTTTGTGAAGGGCTTGTGCTGAAATTCTCACATCCGGTGAGGAGCTCTATCGTCGGAAAATCAACCAACACACAAGATGTGTCCGGTGCGGACACAGAGCCGAGTTAGCGGTTCATATTCTGCAAACATGTTCGGGAATGCTGGAAATTTGGATCTCCGCTCCTTTTCTGCTGACATCGTTCAACGATGAAGGTTCTTGTTCGAGCTGGTTCGAGTTCATGAAGAAAACTCTCTAGGTTGAACTCTTGGCGCTGGGAATTGTCATTTCATGGAAGGCTTGGAATTACCAAAACAAATATTTACATGGCGACGAAGGAAGCAAACCCAACAATCTTCTTGCACGGGGAAGTCAGTTCCTTCAAGAGTTCAACAGTGCTCAATTGCCACGGTCTCTAGGAAGCTTGTCGCCCCATTCCTTTCTTCGCATCTTGTAATTTCCAGTTTATTGGCCGGTCCGGCAACCATCTCGCTCATAGGCTTGTTACTATGATTAGCTTAAAGTGTAATGAGGGACCTTTCATTTCCTCAGAACTTGGTGTTCTTGCGTAATAAAGATCCACTTTGCTTTAAAAAAATTGGTAAATGGTTATCCATGGGTATCCGGATATTTGTGGTAATGGTTCTTGTTTTAGCTATGTATTAGTAATGATTCTGGTATTACACTTTTTCGAGGGCACCCGCTCCACTGACATCCCTATTTAAGGGGATAAAGTGTAGGGATTGCAATGGGTATGGGTTTGGCGGGTCTTGGACCCGGAACCGACCCGTTTGGGGCGGGTCTGGGTCAACTAAATGATTTTGGGTCGGGTAATGGGTTTAAATTTCTAGAACCGGATGGTTCTGGGTCGGGTTACGAGTCTTATTGGAACCGACCTAGAACCGACCCGTATATATATATATATATATATATATATATATATATATATATATATATATATATATATATATATATATATATATGGGGGAGATATATATATATATATATATATATATATATATATATATATATATATATATATATATATATATATATATATATATATATATATATATATATATTCTCATTTATCAAACTATCAATTTCCATCTTGTCTATTCTCATTTACCTATTTTCACTGTTTTATTTTTCGAATCTCATTTATCGTGAGTAATATCACTTGTCGACAACCGCTAATTGTCTTGTATTTTGAATTTTACTTATTATCGAAGTTAAATATAATTAATTGTAATTTTAATGTTCATGTTATGTCACTTGTAGAGATTTTTTAAAATATTGTATTTTAGTATTGTGATTATTTCGTAAAAACATACAAGCAAAATGTTATGAAAGTTAAAAAATATTAAACTTTTTGTATGTTAATGGGTCTAGCGGGTCTGGCGGGTCAGAACCGTGTAGTTAGTGTCTGGGTTGGGGCGGGTCTGGGTCTAAGCTAAAGCGGGTTGGGGTGGATCTTGGGTTTATATATTTTTCGTGGGTCGGGTCTTGGGTTTAGACAAACCCGACCCAGAACCGACCCGTTGCCATCCCTAATAAAGTGTTGACAATAATGTAATAATCACATTAACGATTTCTAGTTAAAGTCTAAAGTCTTTTTTTAATTGAAATTTATTATAAATAATATAATAAATTAAAATTTTCTTAAACCGTAAATCGTAAGAAACGAATCGTAAATCGTAAGATGTGATCGATTTTTTGACATTTAAGATTTGTTTTAAGATTTGAATCGATCTATATATAAATCGAATCGTAACATTTTAATAATAAAAAAGATAGAAGATACACAACGTGACAGCAATTTGATATCTATTAAAATTTAATTATACGAAATCACATGATGATGAGTGTAGATTCACTTATTTTGCACAATTACAACGTTGTCACAATGAAACTTAAAAAAGCAAAAAATCTCACAATTGTTACACCAATAAACAAGCCATGCACAATTAACACTCGCAAGTATTAATTAATTAATAATAAGTAGTTAATTAACAAGCCTGCAGTTCCTTCTAATCTCTCCATTAGCCCCAGTGAGTGGGCTAATATTCCCCATCCTCACCATCGCCGCAGCAAAATCAGCCCTGAAAGCATTTAAATTACTGCTGTAAAACCTGACCAACGAATCCTGGGATTTCGGAGTTCGCGCCGCTCAGGCTGGCGGTTCTCGCGTCCCTTCTTCCGACGGGGACCGTCCATGTGGGCCCTCCCATCTACATGTCCAATAATAGAATAGTTTTCTCATGGGGATCAACTGGTCATGCATATACAATAGAACCTCGATAAATTAATAATTTCGATTAAATAATAGTTTCTTCTGGTCTTTACACGGTAAGAACCTACTAAATTATTAATTCGATAATTTAATATTTCACTAAATTAATAGAATTTTGTTAGTCCCACCTACTAAATTATTAATTCGATAATTTAATATTTCACTAAAGTAATAGAATTTTGTTAGTCCCAGCTGTATTAATTTATAGAGGTTTAACCTATATAACATTGTATCAAGTATGAAATTGGATTCTATTCAAATTTTAATTGTCTAATTTTATATATATTATCTATTTTTTTCTTTTTAGCCTTATAATACGGCCTTGAACGCACTCAAAAGATTCGAATCTCCAACATCATCTTACCTAACATCGTTATGAGAATGACTCCTGGTATTACTAGGCTAATGCTTAGTAGATGTTTAGGTTTTTATTTTTAAGTAGAAGGAATTCGATTGTAAAATAAATTATATGAGAAAGTGAGTTTGGCTTATACAAAAACGAGAGAGCGTATAATTGGTAACAAATATAACTATAACTCGATGAGGTAAATTCAGATACATTTCGACGTAATAGCACACGCTCGTAAGAGAATTCATTCGATAATGTATATAATCCATGTTGATTTTATGATAATGCATATGTCACAACTGCAAAAACTTGAATATGCAATGAAGTAGGAAAATTATAGATAATATAAAGCTAGCTAGAATTGCATGCAATATAAAGTTGTATATATTAACCGATAATTTACGTAGTGAATTAGTAGTAATTACCAAGCCTACTCCATCTCTTGCAGCCAAGGCCACAATATCCGCACAAGAAACCGTGGCGCTGCAAGCAGCTTCCACACGAGTCTTGATAGTGTCGATCAATTCATAACCTCTCACCGAATTCCGGTTCGGAAACGCATTCTTTTCCCCAGTGAATGTGGCTGTGTCGTCTAGCAACAACGATCCGTCACAACCCTAATTACATCAATTAACAAAACAATTTAAAAAAATAAGAAAAAGTGACCGATAATAATTAATTTAAACGAGCGCAATTTGTTACGTACATTAACGAAGCAATCGTGGAAGAACAGACGGAGGATGGATGCACCGATCCTGAGTTCTTGAGTGATGGCTTCTCTCATAGCGTTCCGCACTATGAGTTGCAGATTAGGGCATGTGGAAGCGTAGAAATTCGGCGAGAGCTGTGCATTGCTGCAGCTGAAAAGAAGTGATGCTATTATGGATAGAGTGAGAAATGAATTATTTGTAAGAGAAGCCATGAGATTTTAATCAAATTTAATTAATTGGATGATGATTTTGAAATTGCATGGATTTTGATCTATTTTTATAGGCCAATGATTAGAAGTGTGGAGTTATTTACGTGACACTATTTTCAAACTTTGCTGCTGGACAAACGCGTTTGATTTCAACGGAGTGCACACTTACTTGATATAGGATTTTAGCTAAGAGAGAGAGAGAAAGTACGTCGACCCACACAAAAAAGGGAGTTGACTTTCAACTCTAAATAATAAGTCAACCATGCAAGCAAAACAACAAGAAAAACTTATCGATTTATGGCTTCATATTCAACGCGAAATCAATGCTTTCCATATGATATCAAGAGAAAAGACGCATAACACGGGTCCCCTATACTTTATGGGCTTATTTTATATCATAGTAGTTAAACTCACGAGATGGTACGGTCCTAATCAAAAGAATGAGCTAATTGCATAAAACCCCCTGTGTAATTTTGAATTGTCAAAAAAGTCCTCGTGTTAAAAATATTAGCAAGGACCCCCCTATGTTTTGTTTTACGAAGCACACCGCTCCTTAATTCGAAATTGATGGTTGACTTGTATGCAATGACTAAAATATCCCTAATAGTTTAAGTGATATTTCAATTTTAAACAATAAAAAGAAAAAAAAAAAGAAATATCACACAAATAAGCAAACCTGCATCTTCTCTCCGACAATGGTGTGCGGCGATTTTTTTGGTTTCTTTCGGATAGAAAGAAAAAAGTGCAGCAAAGCAGTTTTTGGTGGACGGGAATTGTGGATTCAGAAACTATAGTAGTGGTGGTGGCATTCAACGGCAGCGGCGGCAGTGTGGTGGATCCGGAGAGTCGGCTTCGAGTTTGGGTGGAGTAGCTGTGGAGTGACGGCGAATATTCTTCGAGTTTGACATTCTTCTTCTTCTTCTCCCTCAGTATACGACTCAAGATTCACAAATTGGAAAAAAATGCTATGGAAATTGGAAGAAAATGCTTTGAAGAATGTTTGCATTTTTTTTGGGTTTTGGCAGGGATGTGCCGAAAAAGCTTGAGACGCCATTTTTCTTCCCTTTTGTTTTCTTGGATTTGGAATATGAATGAACATCATGCTCAGATTGGGTTCGGTTGATGGGTTTTGCTGGAAAAAATCATGGTGAAAAAGTGGAGTGTTGTTCTTGAGGTTGGAGAAGAGGGCTTATTTGAATATATAAAGGACTCAATTGAAAATCTTAAAAACTTCATTTTGGTGCTTATAAAATTTATGGGGGCATTTTGGTATTTTCGTGTTAAAAAAACGAACCCCCACTCGCATTCATGGCAAGTGAAGCACACCGTCAGCTCTCAGGGACCTTATTGCCTTTGATTATTTTTCGTAGGGGGGTATTTGCTAATTGTTTTAACACAAGGTCTTTTTCAGCAATTCGAGATTACACAGGGGTGGTTTTTGCAAAAAACCCTCAAAAGAATACAACTCATACTCTGTATGGTCTGTGCATAAATATCGGTAAATATCGAGAGATATCGTATCGTATCGCCATATCATGATACGATACCATATTTACGGTATTAGTCAAAATATAAAAAAAATATAAAAATAAAAAGGAAAAAAAAGAAAAAAAAGGAAGGAAACGAAATATTCACATAGTCAATGCCTGAAAAATGGATTTCAATATTATTTAATATTTTTTTTACATATATTAGGTCCAAGAAATTTAAACGCTAAGTGTGATATTGATAAGAGGAAAAAAGTGAAAGGTCAAAGTTGAAGTTGAAGAGATTGATGAACATGAGAATGAAAACACTCGTTTGAAATTGGTGGATGGAAAAGATTTAAGTGGCATTAATATTGAAGATCATGAGTAATTGATTAGTTTTCTAGAAATTAGGGATTCAAATTAGAACTTTGTTGCTATTATTTTAGGAGCAATTATGATTTTTTTCATATATATATATATATATATATATATATATATATTATATTTAATTTTTTAATAGTTGGTTAAATATCTTACAACTTACAATACGGTACACAGACAAAAACTGTAATCCAATATTTTCCGATTTGATAAAGGTGCCTAATAAACTAGGGATAAACCCAAATAAAAGTCATAATTCGACATACCTCTGGAAAGGCGAAAGTACTATACTGCCATTATATGTAATTTTTGGTCAAATTGCGTTCAACATTTCTAGCCTACATTTAGCATTTTCAATGATTTATTTTTTAATTTTAATATATTTTTATTTATTTTTTTATTTTTTTTAAATCGATATGTTTACCGTATTGAAATGTAACTGTAGCAAACTATAGTCATTCGTAGTTTTGTTCTTTCTTTTTACCCCAATTTTTAGTCGACCAATTATGTACGCATACGAATATTGGCTTATACACACGAAATTCATAAAACCCAACAAAAAAAAATTACAGTTTCAATATTTATATTATAAATCAGCCCATAAACAACAAATACAAATCGAAAATAGACAAATATATGCATATGTAACTAGCAATGTATAGTAATGTATACATTTTGTAGAACACTGTAACTTGAAGCAGATATAACTTCAACCAAAATTTTCGACACCTTCAAGGAGAGGATCAATGGCTTTCATAACGCTGAAATTGAAAAATAAAAAATAAAAATTAATGCAAATCAACGAAAAATGAAGAAACATCAAAACACTCAACAATCAACAAACACTAAGAGATCGAGAGAGATCGAGATCGAGAGAGAGAGAGAGAGAGAGAGAGAGAGAGAGAGAGAGAGAGAGAGAGAGAGAGAGAGAGAGAGAGAGAGAGAGAGAGAGAGAGAGAGGCCATAGCTGCGAAATGCTCCTAATTTTAAACCAATCCGCCAATGAATCTTGACCCTAACACCTCCTACCAAAACCTTAGCCGCTGCCGACCACCCAAGGTTCCGCACTCGAAATGAAAAATATTATTGAAACAAATCTGAAAAAAAAATTTGAACAAAATTATGATAAAAAAATAGATATCGACGAGAGGAATCCAACGGTGGGTAGTCCGTCAAATTCCGATTGTCAGAACACAAATTACTCCTCCCGCAAGACCCACCGTCGTCGAAATACCCTCCAACTGCAAAAAATAGATTGAGTGCTCCAAACTGAATGAAATCACCACCAAAATAAAGAGCTCTACGAGAGGAATTCAGCGGTCGTTAAACCCACCGAAGAGTATTAGCGTATATATTATATATATTACGTATCTTATTATTATTCTTATTTATTATAGTTACCTTGTATAATAGGTTACCTTGTGTAGTAGGTTAAGGTTTCCTACATATAACTATATATATGATTAATATACGTGAGAGATATTATTCTCTCTTTTCTCCAAATCTATTTCTCCTATATGGTATCAGACACTAGGTTAACCTAGCCATCACCACCCCTTCTTCTCCATAGCCGTCGCCCCCTCTTCTTCTCCATGGCCGGCGACGCTTCTTCTCCCTCCACCGCCCCTCTCAATCCTTTTCACCTTGCTCATGCCATCTCTAATATCAAATCTCTTATCCCCGTTACTCTAGATCTGAAAAATCCCAATTATCAAAAGTGGAGCCACTTTTTCACAATTACCGTCGGTCGTTTCTGCCTCTCCGATCTTCTCCATGGAAAACCCCGACCGGATTCGATTTCCGCAGATGAATGGCAGCGCGCCGACTATCTCCTCCAATCTTGGATCTACGGTACCATCTCCGATGATTTGTCCAGCATGGTTCTCTCAAAAACCTCCACCGCCAGTGATCTATGGACCGCCATCTCTTCTCTCTTCACCGATAACAAAGATTATCGAACCATTCAACTTGAAGAAAAATTCAAGTCCCTCAAGAAAGGCACTCTCTCCATTCACGATTATTGCCAAATAATCAAAACCACGGCGCACAACTTGGCCGATGTCGGAAATCCAATCTCCGACAAACAACTCGTCCTACAAACCCTACACGGCCTTCCGAAAAATTACGGGACCGTCGCCAACCTCATCTCCTTTCAGAATCCCCTTCCCACCTTTCTACAGACTCGATCGCTTCTTTAGATGGAAGAAACACGAATTGTTGAACCGGAGCAGACCGCTGCTGCTTTCTACGTCTCCAACGCGAACTGTCCATCCAACAGTTGCAACGGTTCCTGCAACAGTTCCCGTGGAGGTAGTTCTTCGCGCTATCAGCGCGGGGGTGGCCGATCCAACCGTCGCGGAGGTCGCAGCACTAACCGTCACCCCATGCAGCACTATGGCTACCATAGTGCTCATGGCGCATCTCAACTCTGGCGCGCACCTTACCGACAAACCGTCAATTTTGGGATCCGCTCCAAATACATCGGGCCACCCATCCACTCCAGCGGCTCAATCCTACTTTACTGGACCACCTGAACCCTACACCGGCCACTCGGCTCCTACTCAGGTTCATCCGCACTAGCAACCATGCCACAGCTCTAACAGTTCCATCAACAGTTGCAACAATTCCTGCAACAGTGCCAACATGGTGCATCTCGCAAACCGTGTGAATACGGTGACACTTCAGCAGCCTACCGAGTCACAGTGGTTCATGGACAGCGGGGCGACATCTCATATGGCACCACACTCAGGTAATTTCAATTTTGTTTTTAATCCTGGCAGTAATTTCTCCAAACATGTCGTCGTCGGTAATGGTTCCACCCTCCCCATAACCCACATAGGCCACACAATTCTTCCCACCACTCCTTTCCGCCTCACAAATGTCTATGTCACACCCAATATCGTCAAACACCTTATCTATGTTCGAAAGTTCACCTGCGATAACTCGTGTTCGGTTGAATTTGACCCGTTTGGTTTTTCTGTGAAGGATCTTCGGAGTCGAGTCGAGATTTTCAGGTGCAATAGCTCCAGTGACCTATATCCATTTGGCGTCCCTCCTCCCAACTCACCTCCCGCTGCTTTCCTCACTGTCGCAACACCTTCGTCTCGCACTCTTTGGCATCGGCGTCTAGGCCATCCCGCCAAACACGTCATGTCCCCTTTATTTTCTAGCACTTTTCTTTCCCATAATAAAGACCATAGGGAGTCTCTTTGTAATGCCTGTCAATTAGGCAAACATTTTCGTCTACCATTTTTTTCTCAAAAATCTACTACTGTTGCTCCATTTCAAATTATTCATGCTGATTTATGGACTTCTCATGTTTCTAGTCTTACGGGTTTCAAATATTATCTTGTGTTAGTTGATGATTTTACCCATTATTTATGGACTTTTCCTCTTCGAAATAAATCTGACGTTTTTACAACCTTTGTCAATTTTCATACACTTCTCAAAACTCAATTCCAACATCCCCTGAAAGCCTTACAAAGTGATAATGGTCGTGAATTCAAAAATGTAGATTTTCAAAACTACTTCACTAAACACGGCATCCTAAATCGTTTTTCGTGTCCCCACACCTCCCCTCAAAACGGACACGCAGAACGAATGATCCGCACTATAACTAACATGATTCGATCCCTCATCTTTCAAGCTCATCTTCCTCCTACTTATTGGGTCGAAGCCCTTTATATGGCCACACACCTACTCAATATCTTACCTACCAAAACCACACAAAACCAGACTCCTCACGAAGCTCTTTACCTGATTAAACCTACATACTCTCATCTTCGAGTATTTGGTTGTCTCTCTTATCCCAACCTCACCGCCACCACACCACATAAACTCGCCCCCCATTCTACTCCTTGTGTCTATCTCGGTCACCCTTCCTCTCACAAAGGCTATCGTTGCTTTGATAGATCCACTGGCCGAATCATAATTTCTCGTCATGTTACCTTCGACGAAACTCACTTTCCTTTTGCTGAGTCAACTCCCCCAAAAAACACACTTCCTACCTCTGCCTTGACGAAAAAACACCCTCCCTGTTCCTCCTCCCTCAGACTTCGTCTAACTGTTGCAACAGTTCCTCCAACTGTTCCAACAGTGAACCACCCAGTTCCAACAGTCCTATAACACAGCCAACACCTGTTTCACCTACAGCACCACCTCTCGACCACGACCAGCTCACAACCCCTTCTCCTACTTCCACATCTCCTTCTCCTACTCCCACACCTCCCCCACCTCCCCCTGCTCACCCTATGGTGACTCGCAGTAAAGTGGGCATCCACAAACCCAAAGTCCCTTTCTCTCTCGTTGCATCCTCTACCTCTTCCATTCCACCAACTATCGTCAAGCTCTTCTTGACCAACATTGGCGAAACGCCATGATTGAGGAATATAATGCTTTAATTAAAAACAATACTTGGAATGTTGTGCCCCGCCCCCCGTTCACTAATGTTATTTCTGGTAAGTGGATATACAAACAGAAACTCAAGTCTGATGGCTCCCTTGAGCGATACAAAGCACGATGGGTTGTTCGTGGGTTTCACCAGCAGACTAGCATCGATTTTGACGAGACTTTTAGCCCAGTTGTCAAACCAGCCACTGTTCGAACAGTTCTCAGTATTGCTCTCTCGCGACCATGGCCAATCCACCAGCTTGATGTAAAAAATGCCTTCTTACATGGCAATCTCTCTGAAACTGTCTACTGAGCAACCTCCCGGATTCGTCGATCCATCTCGCCCCACTCACGTGTGTCCTCTCAACAAAGCACTCTACGGTCTCAAGTAGGCACCACGTGCTTGGTACAAGCGTTTTGCATCTCACATTACTACCATGGGGTTCAGAGAATGCAAGTCCGACACTTCACTCTTTGTATACTGTCGCAACAGTTCACGCGACTGTCCCAACAGTTCATGCTTTACCTTCTGCTGTATGTCGATGACATTGTTGCTTACGGCCTCCACACATGAATTGCTCCGCTCTATCATCGCTGCCCTTAATCAAGAGTTCGCAATGAAGGATCTTGGCGATCTTCACTACTTTCTCGGCATCTCAGTTACTCGCTCGTCGAATGGGCTATTTCTCTCTCAACGCAAGTACGCCGACGAGATACTAGAGCGTGCACACATGGCTTCCTGCAACCCTTGTCTTACGCCGGCTGACACAAAGAGCAAGTTGTCTTCGACCACTGGACCCCCCGTTGCTGACCCTACTCTTTATCGCAGCCTTGCCGGTGCACTGCAATACCTCACGTTTACTCGTCCCGACATCTGCTATGTTGTGCAACAAATATGTCTATTCATGCATGATCCGAGGGAACCTCATATGGCTGCTCTCATGTGTATCCTTCGCTACATTCGTGGCACTCTCGATCACGGCCTTCAGCTCTCCCCCAATCCGGACTTCTCCCTTATCGCTTACTCCGACGCCGATTGGGGTGGCTGCCCTGACACTCGTCGTTCGACATCGGGCTATTGTGTTTTCCTCGGCAACAACCTCATCTCTTGGTCCTCCAAACGACAGGTCACTACTTCTCGATCGAGTGCGGAGGCCGAATATCGAGCTGTCGCAAATGCCGTCGCCGAAACGACTTGGTTACACAACTTACTTTTTGAGTTGCTCTGCCACTTTCGAAAGCCACTATTGTCTACTGTGACAACGTCAGTGCCGTCTTACCTATCCAGCAATCATATTCAACACTCTCGTACGAAACATGTGGAGATCGATATCCACTTTGTCCGAGACAAAGATGCTTTGGGACACGTTCGAGTTCTTCACGTCCCATCCGCCTACCAGTTTGCCGATATCTTCACGAAAGGACTCCCTACTCAACTGTTCCAACAGTTTGTCTCCAGTCTCCACGTCTTCTCCTTTCCCGTATTGACTGCGGGGGTGTATTAGCGTATATATTATATATATTACGTATCTTATTATTATTCTTATTTATTATAGTTACCTTGTATAATAGGTTACCTTGTGTAGTAGGTTAGGGTTTCCTACATATAACTATATATATATGATTAATATACGTGAGAGATATTATTCTCTCTTTTCTCCAAATCTATTTCTCCTATAAGGAGAAAATTATGACTATGGAGAGCAACATCGCCGGTTGGAGATCTATGGGGGCGGGATTTGAATCTAAGAGTGAGAGAGGAAGAAAAAGACGACTGTGAGTTGGCTAGGGTTTAAAACTGATTTTAAAAGGGCATTTTAGGTACTTTAGGTTGGCCGAGCGGGGCTGTCAAATTAATTTCAAAATGAAGGAAGTTTGCACTAGGGTATAATCCCCTTGGTGGCTAGTTATATATATTTTCCATATGACTTATGAGGGTCCCTAAAACAATCTACTTTATTGTTAATAAAATTAGTACATAAAATACCTATGTCAAAACTTAAAAGTTAAATACAGTTCCTAAAAAAAGTTTTATGAGACAATATTCATATTTAGTGCAACAAAAAAAATGTACATGGCATTTGATTCTCGCTGAAATAGTGGGGCTGCAAATTGAGATTGAGAAATTCATAACTCTATTAATCTTATTTTGCAAGGTGTGGCTAAATCAATGTTGAAGTTTGATAAATATTGGGGAAGGTTTGAGAAATTGAATAAGATCATATACATAACCGATGTTCTTGGTTAAAGTGTTAGAATCTTTTATTGTGTTTTCATAAAGATCGTCTTATTATAATTTACATCATTCGTACCGATATACCGTATCAAAAGCAACAGTGTATTTAATAACAGTATGCTGAACAACAACAGTATACTACAATTGTTGGTACGGTAAAGGTATCGAGTTTTTCAATACCATATAATTCAGTAGGTCCACAGTATTGATCAAAATATTCAGCAACCACCGAAACCACCCCAACATCTTATCCTCAATTCTAACAATAAAAAAAGAAACCACCCCTACATCTTATCCTCACTTTTAACAATAAAAAAAGATGATTAGATGAAACAACTTCCATAGGAGCAAGAAAAGGCCAAATCTCCATTAGAAAAAGAAAGTCACATGCATTAAAGTATCAAACTACTATTGGAGAAGATGAACAAATCAAAACAAAAATAGAAGCAATTTAAAGCTACATTGACATTTGACAAGTCATTCATTCATCTTTTATTACCAGTCAAAAAAGATAAATGAAATAGTCAAGATAGTAGTTCAGCTGCATGTGATCATGAAGCTAAATAAAATTGAAAATAATTAATAATCTTAAAAGCATGCCAAGAAGAAAGCATCCAGCAATAATTCCCTTGACTAGCTAAGGCTCGGCTTCGAAGAAGGTCGATAATTCTTGACCAACGGGACCAACGACTGCACGACGTCTGCCATCAACGGCCTGTAATCTGCCTCCGGCTGTACACACATTGCAGCTATTGCAGCAACTTGAATCACTTCCTTCATCGAATACTGTCCCTCTAACCCCTCATCCATTATTTCACCCACCTTCTCTCTATCCGTAAGTTGCGGTAACGCCTATTATATATATTGTATATCCAAATAACATCATGTTATTGAAATATATTTATATTTTTATATAGAAAAGGGCAAATTATGGCCACCTCCTGAGGTATGGCCAATTACGAAAAAAACCCTCTTGTTTGGGTAATTACAAGCACCCTTCTTTTTGTATATATTCAATTCGGTAAACGGTTTGAAATGTTGGCGTACCGAAATTTCGGTTCGGTTTTACCGATTTAACATCCCTAAATTCACCACTGAAGGGGTATTTTCGTAATTTTACCATAACTCAGGGGGTGGCCGTAATTTGCCCTGTAGAAAATGAAATCGAAAGAAATACCCAAGATACAAGAACGCCTTCACCGGAGGGCCTCTTCATATCAACCGGAACTCTGCCGGTAAGCAGCTCCAATAGGACCACTCCATAGCTGTATACGTCTGACTTTGTGGTTAGATGCCCAGTTAAAGCATATCTGCATGCATGGATTAATATAAACGATTCAATTAATTAAGAAAGTCGTTTCGAGTATATATATATATATATATATATATATATATATATATATATATATATATATATATATATATATATATATAGAATAGTTAAGGGGAGGAGTGGTATTGGGTTGTACTCGGGTGCAACGTAACCCTGTGTGCCCAAGACACGTGTAGAAACGTGTCCACCAGCTTTCTCGGAGCCATGTTTGGCGAGTCCGAAATCGGAAACTTTGGCGTGGAAGTTTTTGTCGAGAAGGATGTTACTGCTTTTGAAGTCTCTATGGATAACTGGTGGGCTAATATGCTCGTGGAGATACTCCAGGCCTTTTGCAGCTTCTAAAGCTATCCTCAGTCGAGTTTCCCAGCTTAAATTTGACGAAACAATTCTACTATTACCTGTATAAATGATTGGTCACGAATAAGAAAAATTACGCATTTAACCAATTTTTCATATTTTTCATAGTATATGCATTATGCAGTTTTCATGTAATATAGGACTCAACCGAACACAAGACTTCTTTTAATTACACACTTAACCTATGTAGCACGGAAACGGAAACGGCGATACAGGGAAACGGGGATACGGGAACTTGAGGGAAACGTGTAAATATTAAAAGTGTAGGGCTATATTTAGGAATATTCTATATAAACATATATAAGTTTTTAACTTTATTTATATATACGTTCTTTCTATATATTTTTATACAAACATATTCAAAATAAATTTTACTATCAAATATCAATTTACAATTGATCATTAAAATCATGTAAATAATTTGGGAAACAACATAAATACTTACAAATTTGCTATTCAAACATGTTTTTAACTTTTCAGAAATTGCAAAATGGCCCATAAGGTGTCCGGCATGTGTATTCAAGTTTCCGACACAAAACGTTTCGAGAAGCAGAAACGTTAACATGTTGAAGTTTTCGTCCTACATAACACTTAACCAATTTTGACTTCTATATTTAATCATACTCTATCGTTAAAAATAAAACTACAAACTATAAGTGCCATCCATACATAAATTTGTCGAAGCGAACAACTTCACACAAAAAAACCAGAAAAAAAACGAAATTACCTTTGTTTGGATACAAATGTTCGTGCAATCCTCCATTAGCCATAAACTCATAAACGAGCAATTTCCGACTGCTTTCCGAACAGTAGCCGATCAACGGTAGTAAGTACGGCGAACGCAGCCTACCCAACAACTCTACCTATCATTTCATTCAACAACACAATAAGAAAAAAACAAATGGTGAAATCTCAAGATCCACTACAAATAGTTTTTAATTAACGACGAAAACCTCGGCGGTGAATTCGTCGTCTCCCTGTTTTCCAGCTTGATCCATCAACTTAACTGCAACTTTCATTCCATTCTGAAGCACCCCTCGGTATACGAATCCGAATGCGCCGTGACCAATCACATTACTCTTACCAAATCCACATGTGGCTGAATGCAATTGCTTGAATGTAAAGATATGTAGTCCTCTTTCACTTGCAATTTGGATGTTTGCAAAGTTGGTAGCTTTTTCCTCATGGTGAATCCCTAATAGATTAAAGAGACACAAATAATCAAATGCAACAAAAAAAATATAATAATAAATAAATAAATAAATAAAGAAAATAATAACAATTTTCATACCCATATATATCAATTTAGCCCACCCAATTTTTATTAATAAGCCCACCCAAAATATACATTAATGCAAAAAAAACAAAAAAAAAAATCCATTTTTTATTAAATAGTCTACCCAAAATCCAAATTACTGCAAAAAAAAATGCTCTTCATTTTTTTTCTTTTCCTATTTCCTATTTTTGTCACAAAAAAGTCCTAAAAAAATTTTCATTGGCACTGCCCCGAACCCCCGAAAATTTAAGTTCACTATGACAGAGTAATAATGGCAGAAATAAGGACCACAAAGAAAATAGCCAGATGCACAGATATACTTATACCCAGTACTTTTAATTTCTCAACTGGGTTTTCAAGAAAATTTAATAAATTAAAAATAAATATGAGTTTAAAAAATAAAAAATAAAAAGGTACTAACTTTTCTGCTGGGTTTTGAAGCGGTTGGAGAATTTGTATCTCAAGTAGCAAAAGTAAGTGAAGGTGACGAGCACAGATGCAACGGCGAGAGATGCACAGACTAGGATTGTAGCTAATACAACGCGCTCCTTCTTCTTGTAATAATCTTCGTTTTCTCCTGCCATTGCTACTAAATTATTGTACTTGAAAATTATGGCAGCATTGTTTTTGTTTAAAGGGATTTAAAAGCTAAAATGGAGAAGCTGTTTATAGAGAGAGAGAGAGAGAGAGAGAGATGTAATAAATAATAAGTTTGAAGTGACAAGTTGGGGCTCAGTGTCTCTCTCTCTCTCTCTCTAGACTCTAGTTTCTCTCTCATCTGTGATGATTCTCTCTCTTTCTCTGGTTTGTGTTTGTCTTGTTTCGTGGCGCGGAGACCAACTTTTGGCAGTTTTCTTCTTATTTGCTTTCAAGTCCCTCTATTTATGGGAAATTTGTAAACAAACCCAGATTCCTACTCATCAATAACAGTGGCCATCTACACGCGCTGACGCGCGACTTGGAATCGTGAGCATCTCTTCCAAGTAGGGGTGGGCATTCGGGTCGGGTTATTCGGGTATAACCCGACCCGGTCGGGTATTACCCGACCGGATCGGGTAATGTTTTACGTAACCGGGTTTTTCCCGGGTTCGGGTACCCGGTGCTCCCAAACCGGGTCGGGTCCGGGTATTA